ACTCAGTAAGTTTCCTCAAACATTTCTTACAAATCCTTCAAAACTTAGAATTTACCCATGCTAAATTCCTACTGTGATCACAGAAACTTTGATAGTGTAAACCATCCTTTATAATACTCAGTAAGTTTCCTCAAACATTTCTTACAAACCTTCAAAACTTAGAATTTACTTATGCAAAATTCCTACTGTGATCACAGAAACTTTGATAATGTAAACCATCCTTTATAACACTCAGTAAGTTTCCTCAAACATTTCTTACAAATCCCTCAAAAATTTACCCATGCTAAATTCCCATAGAAACTTTGATAGTGTCAACCAGTAAATCTTTAATTAAACTAGTAATCACGCATTGTCAGAATTTCAAAAGACGTGACAAAAAATATCCTGTTTTTCCGGTTTCCTGACCCTCTTTTTTTCTGTTGACTGGAATTTTTTTAATCTGCTGTCATATTTTTTTATTGCTCGCTTTATGATACTACATCATGCCAATGATAATACACTTTATGAAACCACAGTATATGATGATTAAACTTATGTGTTGTAGAAATGCCGACTGATCACATTCGTGGCCATTCAACTGACCAATGTCGAGCAAAAAAAATTTTCAAAAAAATTATTTTCCGACCTACTGTATCTTGCCCTATTTTTTTCAGCATATGAAACCGGAATTACAGGATTTTTTTTCTAAGACCTATTGTTGCAATTTAGACATACTTCATGTTGTATGTCGCTATTTTATTCTTGGACCAGGTCTTACATTTGAATGTAAGACCCGTTATATATGCCCTAACAACACAATGTGGTCTATTGGAATTTACTCTAACAGGATCTCTAATTATGGACGACTACCTCATGAGTCATGACTTCCATAATTCTAATTTCTTTGTTTTTAAAAACGTCTTTAATACAGATTGTGTGCTGTGTCTGACTGTAAGATTGCTTTGTTTTGCTTGTGTAAAAGTGCAGCTCAAAAATGACTTGTATTTAACAAATGTGACTGCATGTATATCAATATGGAAAAAATGTTTTATATTTTTTTTATAATATAGCACAAATTTCAGGAATCTGCGTGTTGACATTAAGTCACTGTCTGTAGTAGTCAACATGGCTCTTAGCCAATCAGAATTTACAAATGTTATATTATAATTTTTTATGTCAAACAATATTAATATTTTGTACCTTTGCCTTCGTTGCCATTGCAATTGATTCTGACTATTCTTTCTTTTTTCTAAATGAGGAGAATACTTTTAGATAAATTAGTCTAGATAAAACAATGCAGCTCTTAGGGTTCCTCTACTGCTCTTGGTTCTGTTTTTTTTGAAAGCTGAATTCATAACCTACATGTATTTATAATTCAAACCATCTCCACTGTCTTTTGAAATTATACTTTGCATAAGTACAAAAATTCTGGGGTGCTGTTACCAATAACGTTTGAGTTTATTTTTATTCATTGTTTTAAAATGGTCTTTTGGCAGTAGCGTATTGTAGTACTGGCAAGCTTATTTTATTCAAGGCGGCAATCAATAGACCTTAATTTAATCACGCTTTTTGAGGCCATATTCGAGAACTCGGTTATAAATACCGCGGAAATGCACCGCAGAGCTAGTCAAAGTACAACAAAATTCTGGGCTGAAAACTGTGGTTCTGCCTTCTGGTGCTCAGACAATTTTGCGAAGTATATTAAGCCTGGCCTAAGATATAATGAAATGCACTTCGAATATTATTTCGAGTATTAACATCTTGTAAACTCAAGATTCGGGCTATTTTATAAATAAGACAACAAAATTCAAGGTAATTTTTCGACTTTCAATGATATTTTTCAAAGTCATTGTCAAGTTTCAAGTTTGACCGAATGACTTTGAAATGAACGTCGAAATATTATCTTGTTTAAACAGCTTGAATTCTGAGTTTACAAGATGGGAATATTTACAATATTTGCCAGTAAAGTGCGCTTCATCTTATATTGCCTATTAAGTTCGCCGTTTTTAGAAATTTTGTGTACTTGCTAACATAAAATTTTAAACGGTACTCAAAACGTGATATAGGTCTATTCTCATGCCAATCCATATATTGCACTGATAGCAAGTGTTCAAAAATGTTACCACCGCTGAGCCATTGGCAGCTGAGTGTAATAAACCTTCCATTCTCTTTGCCAACTTGAGAATGGCCCAATTGGCCAATTACAATAATTAGAGCATATTTTTCATTCCGTTATTGAGTATATGAAACTATATTAATTTCTTCCCAGCAATTATGAAATTAAATGTGATTATATTTGATAATTGCCATGAACGAAACTTTCAAGTCAATTTTCCCAGCCAATTCGCTTTGAAGCAGACTTTGTTTTCTATCAAACTAAAAATTCAGAGAACCCTTTCGTAGTGAAAGTCGCTGATTCATGAGAGCTCCTTAGCGAGGAAATACGTTAATTTGAACTATATACTGTTTGTTTCAAAATGAAAGAACATATTGGTCACAGTCTTTCAATAATTCTTTTTGTGTTAGTTACGACTTGTGCATACTTTCGCGTTTTTTATGTGGTATGAAATAAAATTTTTGCAAATTTTGCACGGAAATTTTATGGTAAAAGTTTTAATGTATTTGAATATTCCCTGTATGCGTATTACTTGGGTTCGTTACTCATTGAGTGGCAGTGCTCTCCTTTTACGAGAAAAATAATATACATGAAAGTATTACTCATCATGCGACTGTGATTGGTTGATTTCAGTGCAGTTAATCTCAAACAGCAGTGCAAAATTCTGTAACAGCAGTGCAAAAATCTGCAACAAACTGATCTTTTTGGTGGAAAAAGAATGAGATCTAAAACCAATCAGCTTAAAGCAGTCTTCAAGTAACGGTCACAGATTAGTTCAAAACAAAATAAGTAAAACTGTTGAGATCGGGTGGAAAATATGGCTTTTATCTTTTTTTCAAAACGGAAAAGACTTTACCTTAAACAAGCCTAACAAAACTTACATAGCTGAATTTTTAAGCCGTTAGCGTTTTAAAATGTGACACGATAACAAAGGGCAAAGTTGAAAAACGAAAACGTTGTCAGTTGTCGGTGCGCTGTATCAATTCTCGAACATTTTTATGTATATTATTACTTCGTAATTAGGATGGTTTCTCGTGAAATTTGGAGTAAAACAAGCACTCGTGAGTTTTTCAAAGACCTCAAATAGCACTCGTCCTTCGGACTCGTGCTATTTTGATGCTCTTTGAAAAACTCACTCGTGCATGTTTTATCCAACTGAATTGCACTAGAAACCATCCTACTACATATACAAATTGTCCGGCGTTAGACAGAGTAAAATAATGAAGTAAGGAGCATTGGGGCGCATTGCAACTCAATGGGTTATACCCAGCACATTGGGAAGAAGATTTTGCAGAATTCGTATATTTGTCTACTGTATATGTCTAGTTATTTGGCCAAGTTGTTTGAAAGCTGATTAGTTTGAAAGAATCACAACTGTATGAAATCTAGCTTTAATTAATTAATTAATAAAATTTATTTTTGCAAAGATGTTTCCTGCGCAAATATACATTTCATTATGTAAAGTTTTGTAATTTTAACTGTTCATCATAATTAACAGCATCAAATATACTGAAGCTTTTCCAACGGGTAACAGATTACTGTAATTAGCACTGATTTGTTCACATTTTTGACATTTTTGCAAGTAACTAAAATTGGACTCACAGCAGGTAGTAATTCACTATAGATGGATCGAAAATGATTTTTTACCCCATGGCAATGCAAATTATATGGACGGATGTTATTATATAATCTAGTAATTAATAAAATAAGACAATTTATATGTCCTGGCATAACTTAAACTTTGAACGACTAACGTCTTATATATTATTACCATTTCAAACCATTGGACGTTTTAACCATTTGCGTTTTCTTCACATTGAAGAATACTATACCTCCACTGGCACTGGACCCAAACGTACTTCAAAATTGATATTCTTAAAATTATCCAAAACTTACCAATGGCAATCAACATGCAGCGTATATAACAATAGGAAAGCTTGAATATGAGTTTTCAATACACGTACCTTTTTAACTAAAATGCCAGACTTCTCCCTTATCCAAAACGTATCAGCGACCAATCCTTCGAGCATTCTTGGTCTTCGTACTGTATTCCGTGAAGTATATTCTTCAATTTAGAACTCCTGCGATGTCTAAGAAAATGTGAATTTCTGTGACTTCAGTAAAGCTTCGAAACTTCAGAAGTTCGCGCTTGTTATCTGACTTTAATATGGCGTGATCTCCTTTTGACGACGTTGTTTATTCCTTATTAAACATGGAAGCTTCTTATTAACTATAACGTTCTTTCAATACTCAGTTGATCATAATGAGCGAGCACCATTTAAATATATTTGGACCGGTGACGCTAACATCGATATGGGCGGGCTAAAGCTTACCCAATTATTTCCGATTGTCTTTGTACGTTGAGGACGCGATAAAAAAACAAGTTGGTTTTGCTATGGAGCTGTTATTAGACCCTTTGTGATTCTTTCATAATTGTTTATAGTCACTATTTGCTAAGGAAATTAAGTGAGAAAACCTGACTAAAAACATTCAGAGCCTATAGTTCCTTTTTTCGAAGCTGCTCGTGGTTAAGTGTGAAGCCAGTGGTTCACATTAGCAATTTTGTCGGCGATTTTGTATTTCTGACGGATGCAAATGAGTGAACTTGCACACAAAAGTATACAGTCGCTTTTCTAAACAATTCTAACGCCTGTGTTCTAAAAGCTCACTCACTCACACTCAATGAGTGAAGGTTCAATCTGAGCTTCCCTTGAGTGTCAATGCTGTTTTTGAATAGCTGGAGGGTTAGTGTCGTACCTTCCTATGTGACTACTCGCCCTCCAGCTATTCAAAAACAGCATTGACACTCAAGAGAAGCTCAGATTGAACCTCCATGCACTCTTTGAGTGTGAGTGAGCTTTTAGAATTCGGGCATAAGTCTTTGTCACATGTCATTCATTCAATCACATTTGCCAGGAGAAGAAAAATCGCCGACAGAATAGACCTTTCCCCTTTTCAGTGAAATTTTCATCTAGACAAGTCTGGACAAAAATTTCATCATAGCTTGAAAGAGTATCGCAAAATTAGTAATATTCCGAAGTTTCGTTGCGAAATGTTGTAAAATGCGGACAATATAGCCATGCGAAGTTTGCCGTTTTTCAGTCATTTTGTATTACAAATGGAAATTGATAATCAGATGATCAAACTGATTATAAATTTCCCGTGCGTGATGCAAAATGACTGAAAAACGGCAAACTTCCCAAGGCTATATTATCCGCATTTTACAACATTTCGCAACGAAACTTGGGAATATTACTAATTTTGTGATGCTCTTTCAAGCTGTGATGAAATTTTTGTCCAGGCATATCTAGATCAAAATTTCACTCATAAGGGGAAAGGTCTATTGGTAGTCCCTTCCTCGGGAAGTTAGTTTGCATACCTATATATCAATCTGAAGCTTTCTTAATGGCACTACCTATATACACTTGCAAAAACCGTTCAAGATCGGGTCTAAATACATCGGTATAAAATTTACACTTCATCTAGTTCAACGTCATTAGTTCAGTCGAGTGGGATGTCTCAAAATTTCCGGAGCAAAATAATCCGGGAATAAAAATATTGAGCAAATGTATTCGTTACACCTTTGAATAAAGTTTCAAATTTTCTCTAATTTTTGGTAATGTTTACTGCACTAAAAAAATTGCGTAAATTTGCTCGTCAATTTGAGTATAATTGGTACTCAAGATTTTGGTCACAGTGGGTGAATAATCGTCCTCAAATTTTTGAGTCAAAACACTCACTGGTATTTGTGCAATTTTGCTGCTCCTCTTGCATATTGAATATAATAGTGGGAAAAAGTTGCACGCGGCTAGATGAAAGTCGGATAAAAAAAAACTTGTCAAGAATGTGTTAATAGTATAATTGAACTTATATTGGTCACCTTTGGGGGGAAATATCAGCATTTTGAGCATCTATACACTTGATAGAACTAATTGTAGGGTTTAGTATAGATGGAAATTTCGACCATGCATGTGAATTTTTATACATTTATTAGGTCTAAAGCTGGAGTAATACGAGCAACAAAATTGCTGCAACTTGCAACAAAATCTGATTTCAACGCATGTTAAGTAGAAATGTTGACATGTGTTGCCTCGTGATTTGTAATTTATGTGTAAACATTTCAATTAACATGCGTTGAAATCATATTTTGTTGCAAGTTGCAGCAATTTTGTTGTTCGTATTACTCCACCTTAACCAGTTGTGACTATAGGTCCTCTGGCAGGATTCGAACCTGCAGCCTTGGCATTCTGGCGCAGTGCTCTAACCAACTGAGGCCACAGTTGTTGAGCTCTAACCGTAAGTTCATCATGTATATATATTTACTAAGATTATGCCAATGTAAGGTGTATTGGTAAATATCACGATTTTAGGTATCTACACTCGATGTAATTAATTGTATAAAAGGGTTTAGTGGATGGAATGGACCATTTGCATTATAGACTAAATTTTGATCTAGACAAAAATTTCATCACAGCTTGAAAGAGCATCACAAAATTAGTAATATTCCAAAGTTTCGTTGCGAAATGTTGTAAAATGCGGATAATATAGCCTTGCGAAATTTGCACTTTTCAGTCATTTTGAATTATTACAAACGGGAAATTGATGCCCCTACACCCGATTGGACTGTCAATTTTCCGTGCGTAATACAAAATGAGTGAAAATTGCAAATTTCGCAAGGCTCTATTATCCGCATTTTACAACATTTCGCAACGAAACTTTGGAATATTACCAATTTTGTGATGCTCTTTCAAGCTGTGATGAAATTTTTGTCTAGATAAAAAGTTAGTCTATAATGCAAATGGGCCATTCTCGAGTGGCAATTTTTTACATTTTTCTTTTTTTTTTTTCGATTCTTGCTGCGAACACGTGATACGCATGTGAAATGAATTCGTCAACACAACTGACCGAAAGTCGTGTATTTTTCTCAGGTATCCTGGTTTCCTTCCACAGGGAATGTTGACAGGTTGGGTTGGGTTGGGATAAGCCACAAACTGAGCCTTCCAGAATAACTGTTGCTACGTGATCGAACTATACCCTTGCATACACATGCAAGGTCTCATGCTTTTAGAACATGATACATAGTTATAAATAGTTTCTTTTAGAAGCTGATGCTACTAACAAACAAACTATTTATAATTATGTATTATGATTCTAAAAGCATGGGATCTTGCATGTATACGCAGGGTATAGTTCGATCACGTAGCAACAGTTATTCTGGAAGGCCCAGTTTGGGTTTTAATAGAAATTTGGAAATTTGGAAACTCATTAGAATAACAATATAACCCATTATCTATGTTAGTCAACGTTTATTCATTAATCTGGTCCTTCACCGTCATGTAGTCTTTATTGGTGAGTATGGCAACCAACAAAAGCGATGGCAGAAAACAAAATTACTGATACTTTTGTATTTGAGCTAAAACATACATTACTAAACTTCTAAAAGCACTTGTCTTTCTTTCAAACAACCCTGAAATTCCCTGAAGTACAAATAGTAAGTGAATTCACATAAAACACCGCAAACGACTTGAACGTTTTACTCTGTTAGCGTGGTCATGAGCCGTGAGAATGATGAATAACGCAACAGTTTGAACGACTAGAATGCTCAAGGAATGCAAATTATAGTCGCCTTTGTCTTAGAGTAAAGATGCTATTTTTGATGATCACGTTCTCGTTGCCGTTGTATTTGCCAAACTCTCTAGTGGAGTCCTGTGGGCGTCGTCATCTTATTTGCATATCAAATAAACTGAAATATCTTCTAACCAAAGAAAGAGGTTTTACTGTAAAAATCCCAAAAGCATTCTTAATAGACCAATCACAGCATCTTTTGCCCTATTCAGAAACATCGTCCTAACAAAACTCGACTGCTTGTCTCTCAAATACTTTATGTAATCCACTTCATTACGTCTCATGTCGTCACACTTTGCCCTAGTCCTCGGGTCCAATCCCTTATTAAGCTCCATTTTGTTGACAACAACCCCGTATTGTAGTGTTACAGTTTTTGTAACATTTCTTAAACACAATTCGCGCATGCGCGCATTTTCTGCGCGCAACTTCTTTATTTCTGTCTGAAAACGGGCGCCGTCTTTCGAGCGCGTTTTTTCCGCGATTTTTTCCTTCAAAATGTCGCGAAATTGACGATAGATTAAAAAATCGACGTTATTCCACCGTTGCATATTATTGATGGTTTTCACGGAAAAATGAGTCGTATTTTCCTGGAGTTTTCTTACGTTCAGCTTGAAATAAGTAACATCCTCTAACGGCCAGCATAACAAATCCTTTAACAACACCAAAGATTCGTCAAAAAACTCGGCAAGAAGCACTAGATCAAATTCTCTTTTAAGATTTTCTAGGAAACTTTCTATTTCAACGCTATTATCAAAGTTAGACGAGTTTAAGCCAAGGTCGAATGCCATGCCATTTCGTATTAACTTTAGCCTATCACTGTTGACACGCAGATCTTCACGAAGTAGATAATTTACTAGAAATTTTTCAGGGTTTTCCAAGAATTTTTCCAATGGATTACCCTTGTCTTGAATGGCCAGTAACTTTTTGAAACCCATGTAGTTGAACGTGGAATCGTATTGTTTCACAGGATGACGTAATATAGTGACGTAAACAGTATCACGTGGCATGACCCGTGCCAGGGTTTCTCGGTCGTAGCGGCCATGATGGCATATGATGTTTGGTCGGACTCCCTCGGGGAGGTGGAATGAGTCATTGCGCATGCTCCAAGGCCAGTCCAATCGGAATTGACCGTCACGTGGTAGAGCGAACACGAGGTCTTTCTTGTCTCCATGACGATGGAGTATGTTTGTTACTGTACTACTTCCAGTCTTGTGAGTCTTCACAAACACAATATTTCGTCTTGGTTTGCACTTCGCTCTGAATGTGAAAGCGAAACTGACAATTATCTATCATGACTAGAAGTGTTACGGTTACCATTGAGTAATTTAAAAAGATACAAAACAATGGACACTCCGAAAACAGTTACTGTCGATGCAATGGAAGTGTTGATAAAATATCAACTTCCTGTTACTTTTAGATGAGCCAATTAGATTTCGTTTCAGAACCGATTGACCAATAGGAAACGCACAGGAAGTGAAAAGAAATTTGAATTCATATGAATTGATCAACTTGAGGAAATGAATTCATGCAATATTTTATCAACACTTCCATTGCATCGACAGTAAGATTTTTAATTCGGCATCATCATCCCTGTTGTTGACTGCAAGCTAGTCGAAACGTCGAATTAAAAATGTTAACTGTTTTCGGAGTGTCCAATGTTTTGTAATTTTTCTATCGTGACTGTTTTTTTACTTAATTCTGGTTGGTTTACACTATCAAAGTTTCTGTGATCACAGTAGGAATTTTGCATCGGTAAGTTTTGACGGTTTGATAAAGTGTTTGAGGGAAATGTTAAACTTTTAATTAAACACTGAGTAAGTTTCCTAAGACATTTCTTACAAATCCTTCAAAACTTAGATTTACCTTTGCAAAATTCCTACTGTGATCACAGAAACTTTGATAGTGTAAACCATCCTTTATAACACTCAGTAAGTTTCCTCAAACATTTCTTACAAATCATTCAAAACTTAGAATGTACACATGCAAAATTCCTACTGTGATCACAGAAACTTTGATAGTGTAAACCATCCTTTATAACACTCAGTAAGTTCCCTCAAACATTTCTTACAAATCCTTCAAAACTTAGAATTTACCTAAATGCAAAATTCCTACTGTGATCACAGAAACTTTGATAGTGTAAACCATCCTTTATAACACTCAATAAGTTTCCTCAAACATTTCTTACAAATCCTTCAAAACTTAGAATTTACCTTTGCAAAATTCCTACTGTGATCACAGAAACTTTGATAGTGTAAACCATCCTTTATAACACCCAGTAAGTTCCCTCAAACATTTCTTACAAATCCTTCAAAACTTAGAATTTTCCTTTGCAAAATTCCTACTGTGATCACAGAAACTTTGATAGTGTAAACCAGCTTAACTGTGCTTTAACTCTTCTTCTCAGAGATCCAGTAAGGGCCTTCTCTTAGGTAAGGTCCGTTTACACTTCTGATGGATGTGAACGAATAGATAACTTAGGAATGTTCAGATGAGAGTACATATACCCAGAACATTAATGACCCATCTGCTCGTTCACATCAATCAGAAGAAGAAATCGCACTGTTCCACTGCCTTTACATTATTTTTGTAGTTGGCCTGTAACCCCAATTTTGTAGTTGGCCTGTAACTCCCTTTGAATTTGGAGTTCAGTGCAAAATGTCGCGTGATTGACATTTTGCGATCACTTTCTTTTGAAATACAAGCAATCAAATGCAACGGATGAAGGTGACTGAACACATTTCAAAAGAAAGTGATCGCAAAAAGTTGATCTCGTGACATTTTGCACTGAATGGAAATCGGCCTTAATTCTTAAATTCTGAAGCCATGATGATCTACCTCTTAAGACCAACCTGTTAGATGATTGCCAGCGATACTTGTTATCTTTATTCAGCGGTAATTCACTTTTCTCATACCCGCTTCCACTTGTAATAAACTTCAATAAACTGTAGATAACAACTCCACCGGCCAGTAAAATGCACACATTTCTACTCTTTCTTCTTCTCATCGGCAAAAATATGATAGCTTTGATTTTTCCAAATTGAAATTCAGTCGTTTACAAGAGACATTTGTAGAGCTTTATTAACCGATTATTCAATTGGCAAATAATGAGAGACTTCTTCACTTTCAGTGTATATGGCGATGCGATACCAGAATGATTAAAGTCTATCTTTGAGAGACCATCCCACATCCTTGTAACATTTTATAAACACTTAGAGTAAGACTTAGTCAACAATTCACGGTTGTTTAAGATAGTTATCGTTTATAATAATCGTTAACAGTGAAGTTATAAAGCATTTCACTTGCCGCTTCATTGAAGCTTAATATCAACAGGTGGTGAACTGGTAGACCGTGTTATAATTATTTTCTGTCAAACTTTTTTTCAAAGTTCTGTGAGTTTGTGTTCTAACTAGCTAACACCAGTGAAGTCATATTGTATTGTAAGATCAGATTAGCTGGAACTCGTTGAAAAGGATTGAAAATTCTTCTATGTTTTGAGAGAATTGGGTTCCGTTCGTCTGGAAATTCGAAAATCTGCCGAGGCCGGTTTTTGAATTGCCAGCTGTGTATTTCTGTATGTGTACTTATTTCAAAACTTTTGAAAATAAAATTTCTGTCATGTTTGTGATGTTACTCTGAGTGTATATCCATACCGGGCAAGCTTGAAAAATATGCCTGGCCACGGTGGGAATCTAACCTACGACCTTTGGAATACTATAGCCAACTGAGCTACGTGGTCAGGTCGGTTCGAGTATGTGATATTTCGGAACTGAGTCTAGTTCCTTCGATATCAATGCAATCTAATGATCATGATTTTTCTATGTTGTTGTTATGCACTCAGGTGAATATGATGCTTGTGATGTTACTCTGAGTGCATATCCACACTGTCACCGGCCAGGCTTCAAGCTTGCCCGGTGTGGATATACACTCAGAGTAACATCGCAAACATCAAACACAGGAAATTTAATAAAACTTCATTTGATCCAGACAAGATTTCTGGAAAAATGTTTTCATGTTTGTAAATAAGCTTTTGGGAAGATTGCTTTGAAATCTTTTTTAACTTATTAAATTTTTTGAAATTTTTTTAACCTACAATCTTGGACAAAACCCTTGAGACCATTCCAGCTAATATTACAAAGTTATTGAACATTGACAAAACAAACTTTGTCTCTCCCCCCAGTTCAATGTTGTGAACATCACCGAAACAACTTTTGGTACTGAATATACCATGACACAAGCTCAATATTGAGTTGGGGGAGCGGGGGTTTAAGAATGGCAACATGATCCAACATGGAGTTTATCATAAAAATACGCAAATTTTCTATAGGGGGAAAATAGTCTCAACCAGTTATGTCCAAAATTGTAGCTCCTGCTTTCGGTTAACAAGGCTCAATCGCTCAGAACCGGGTCAAATTATTCAATGCAACACAAAGCGTTTGGGCTTCCGACAGATTTGACTTAGAAAAATTGGATCAAATAGACCTAGCTTTCCCCTTATAACTAAAATTTTGATCTAGACAAGTCTAGACAAAAAATTCATCACAGCTTGAAAGAGCATCACAAATCAGTAATATTCCGAAGTTTCGTTGCGAAATGTTGTAAAATGCGGATTATATAGCCCTGCGAAATTTGCAATTTTCAGTAATTTTGTATTACAAACGGTAAATTGATGCCCCAACACCCGATTGGGCTGTCAATTTGCCATGCATAATACAAAATGACTGAAAAACGGCAAACTTCGCAAGTCTATATGTTATCGCATTTTACAACATTTCGCAACGAAACTTTGGAATATTACTAATTTTGTGATGCTCTTTCAAATCCAGATCAAAATTTTTCCAGATCAAAATTTTAGTTATAAGGGGAAAGGTCCATTGTCCACAAAAAGCAATCATGGTTTGCCTGAACTACATGAACCTAGGCCTGAAAATTATTGCCATTACCAACGCTTCAATATTTTCGGTCAAACCATTTTCGCTCCATATTCATCTTTTTCAAGTTGTTCAGATACAAACCACGACAGCTAGTGGCGATTGTAAGACCTCGTGTGTTGGTTACTAGACTAGACAGCTCTCTCGCCTTCAAAATTTTACTAAATGTTCATGACCAGAACTTTAAAATCGAATTCCATTTGTGTTACTAGGGGAACAGAATGATTCCGATGAACCGTTAGTCAGTGTTCCGGATGACATTCTTGCCAGTGGCTCGCGCGTTCCTACGCAACTTTTGAGACCGATGGAATGCTTGCAGACATATTCCTATATATGGCTATGAGGTTAGTACAAGTATGATATGGTTTACAAAATATCAGAGTGCTCGCGATCGATAATCAAAAGTAATTTGCAGTTAGCCCTGCGAAGCGAGCAGGTTTTGGACCGCATAGCTTGCGAGTTGGGACGGTGGACCGGGCCACCGGGGGAAACGTTCCTGAGAACGTCAATTTTGGCCACATTGGGAAACATAACTCGGAGCTTAATCATGGCTTGAGATTTGATCAGTAAAATTTGGCCACCGAACAGAAAAATAGTCAAACCACAAAATAGTTTGATAATAGAAAAGAAAATTTTATAGAAAAGAGACAAACAGTGCTGGGAAAAATGTCTATGCTAGCGCGCACAAGACCTGTATGATTCCATTCTCGTCCCCGGAGCCATTTTCTGTTTCTCTTTGAAAATTAGGCTCTGGGTTAGACGACTGATTGGATTCTCAGAGAAGTGCTATTTCGCAGAGGTTGAGCAGTTTTCGCTAGGGAAAATTTTTCTATCAAAACATGTCAACACGTACAAATACTTCGTTTCTTCGTAATACATCTCTGTGAAAATTGTTACGGGTGCTGAAGCGTCCCAATTCAAGAGCATGCGCTTTAGAAACTACTGCAAGTTTTCTTGCACTTCCGGTTCCGTGTATCCCAGGGCCTATGAAGGTCGCGCGCGACCGTGAGGCCATGGGAACGAGGATGGCATGACCCAGGTTTTCAGTTAGCTCCAGTCACTTGGAGCTAATGCGGTCAACTCGGATCCCAATATCTGACACGGCATAAGAACAGGGCTCATATAGTCATTATAGCTTCGTATAGGTTGGGCCTAAAAAAATACCTGTGGTTCTGGTTTCATATCGCGAAAAAATTAGGGTCGGTAGGTCGGAAATATTTTTTTTTGAATGTTTTTTTCATGGTTTTTTCAATAATTAGTATGACAACAGACGCCATTTTGGCAGAACCACCCGGAGAAAATAGGGTCGCACGGTCAATCGCGTTGAAATAATAGTAGTGTCGGCAGGTTTTTTACGCCTTGGTTTAATACCTCAAAATCTTCATTACCATTTTTCACTGAAAGTGGAAATAACGGTATAGTATCACTATCATAGTTTTGTTTGTGGAAACACCACGTAAATTTATTACTGCAGAGCTTTCGATCCGTAAGCCCGGATCTTCATCAGTGCTAATAATATGACATATTATTGGCACTGATGAAGATCCGGGCTTACGGATCGAAAGCTTTGCAGTAATAAATTTACGTGGTGTTTCCACAAACAAAACTATTATATTTTATCACCATGCAAACATACAAAGAACTTAGTATCACTATAGTCAGACTGGATAAACCATTTTATTTGCCAATTTTAAAACCTGAATATTTTAATGATAAGAGATTGTTTAATCTGTCAAATCATTTACAAATAGAATCATCAAGTGCATGACTAAAGTAGTTTTACTATCAATCACATGTTTTTTCCTATGTAACTTGAAAAGTATGGTTATCCTACCATACGGATGTGCGTGAATTCCGTCTCAGCATTCAGTTTGTTTGTGCTATGTACTTGATCGAGAAAACACGTCTGTTTCTTAAACTGGGTGCAATGGTATTTTGTCTCCACTTTCGCCTTCCCACATCTGCTGTGTATTTTCTTCTTGGGGTTCCGAAGAAGAGAATCTTTCATATCTCTCACTTATTTGCACGGAATGTTCTCCGTTTTCAGATGTCTTCTGCAAGGAAATAAGACATGAGAAAGTTAAAGTATTTGTTGGGAAGAGGGGTTGTGGGGCATGGCGGGCAGTTGGTGGGATGAGGGATTGTGTGGGGGTGTAGTTGGTGGGAGGAGTGATGGGGTGGGAGGGGTAGTTGGTTGGAGGAGGGGTTGGGGGTGGTGGGGCAGTTGGTGGGAGAACGTACTGTGTGTGGGGTGGGGGTGATGGAGGAGGGACTGTAGGGGTGGTAGGTAGTTGGTGGGAGGAGGGATTTTGGGCGTGGAGGGCAGTTGGTGGGAGGAGGGATTATGGGCACATTGTTTGGAAGAGGGACTGTAGGTGTGGCGTGGGGAGCAATTTTATATACATTTTCACTCACAATTTCCATCAAGGAAAACTCCGCAATCACTAGTAAACTGTTCCTTACCAAAGCAGTGAAAACCATCCATTCGGCAAACATAGCAAACAGAGCAATTATAGACACAACCAGCACAATATCAGAAGTAAACAGCATCACATAAAACCACTTGTCAGCTTTGATCAATATCTCGCATGTTTCCTTGCGATCTTGGAAGGATTCTTGATCTTCGTGGATATCAGGGTGCTCTAAGTTCTTGCAATGATATCCATCAGCCAGCGAATGCGACCAGCCATTGTCACCAGCTTCTTCAATCATAACACCCAGAGCGAGAACCATTACGATAAGAGTGCAACATGTCCTCAGGTAGCTCTATGTCATGACGTATATCAAACTCGTTAATAACGCATAAGTAAGTTCGCTAATCATTTTACTTTATTTCGCTCACATGATAATACTGGAATACCGGCTGGGGAAGTTGATCCAGTCCTAGGACTGGATAATGTTTTAATTAAGTCTTATGATTAGATAAAGTTTTGATCAAGTACTAAGACTTGAAAAATTTTTCATTGAATCGTATGACCACATAAAGTTTTCACTAGAAAGAGTTTTGATTAGCCTTTGGCCACTGAATAAATTGTTCATCAAATCATAGAACTGGATAAAGTTTTCATCTCAAAATCATAATTCATGAGTAAATTAGAATTAGAATTAGAGCTAATTACATCAGTGCACTCCAGTCATAATATTAAGCTCAATGCTAGAATATGAAGGAGCCTTACCAAGAATTTGTGATATCGTTTGAAATGTTTGGTTACCGAGAGAATAATAATGACTCCAGTAAGAATGGTCTATATAATAAGAAAATACAAATCAGAATTTGGAGGAAAGGCCAAGTTATAAAAACTACACCGAGTAATATATGAGCTTGAAGAAATTTTGCTTTTATTGCTATCAATATGGCTTAATTAATAGACAATTCCCATTATAGACTAATTTTAAAATTAGGTAAAGAAACTCAAATAATACTCACCACAGCTGGAAAGAGCATACTAAAATTAGTAAAATTACAAAGTTTGGTTGCGAAATGTTGTAAAATGCGGAAAATATAGCCTTGCAAAGTTTGCAAAGTTTGTATTTGCGGATATTCCTACCACATTTAGGCCGAAAATGTCGCAAGCAATACAAAAGTATACAAAATTTGCAAACTTTGCAAGGCTATATTTTCCACATTTTACAACATTTCGCAACCAAATTGTTGTAATTTTACTAATTTTAGTATGCTCTTTCTAGCTGTGGTGATTTATTTGCATCTCCTTGCCTAGTTTTAAAATTAGTCTATAATGGGAATTGTCAATTAATATGCTTTTCATTACATTCGCAACTTGTGTTACAATATAGTTGTCCTTTGGATTGTATCTTTTTCACAAGTTGTGGAATTATTATGCATGCCGACTAGACATCTTATATCCATAAAAAAAGAAATCTTTATCAAACCTACTACGCTCTACAGATACACCCCACTTATAAATTTGGATAACAATGCACGTTATTTAAGCAAACGTGGCCTCTCAAGGCTATACGTGTTTTGTAGCACTGTTTCGCTGCTGAGTTAAACCAAACTTAGACTCTACAGAAACAGACTCTACTGTTTATTGTACCTAAAAAAATTCAGTCATAGTGGGGCTCAATTATGGAATCACATATCGGAAGAGATAAGAAGTTCGGTATCTCATGACTCGTTTTGCAAAAAGCTTTTTCCCTCGACCTTTGTTTTAGAAATTACAGTAGGTGTCCTTGTATTTTTTGAGGTACAGCAGTGTGCAATATATTAAATAAACTACAACTTCTGCCGTAAATTGAAAGTGTTTGCATCCGTTTTAGCGTGAAAACACAAATGAAAACACAAATGATAACACAAATGAAAACGCTCGAAAACGTTACCGTGTGCACATAGTCTAACTAGCCGAGCTACAGGGTCCAGTTGCTGAGCTAATGCCACAAATTCATGTATTTGTATTAGACGTCGAACGTTTCTTGTGCCAAATCGAATCTCAAGGGCTAATGAAATCGAACAAAGAGATTATGTTATTTACATTAGATTGAAATAAATGTCTATAAATTTCCACTCGACAATAGACCTTTCCCCTTTTAAGTGAAATTTTGATCTAGACAAGTCTGGACAAAAATTTCATCACAGCGGCTTGAAAGAGCATCCCAAAATTAGTAATATTCCGAAATTTCGTTGCAAAATGTTGTAAAATGCGGATAATATAGCCTTGCAAAGTTTGCCATTTTTCAGTCATTTTGCATTACAAACGGAAATTGATAATCAGATGATCAAATTGATTATCAATTTCCCGTTTGTAATGCCAAATGACTGAAAAACGCCAAACTTCGCAAGGCTATATTACCCACATTTTACAACATTTTGCAACAAAATTTCGTAATATTAATAATTTTGTGACGCTCTTTCAAGCTGTGACGAAATTTTTCTCCAGACTTGTCTAGATCAAAATTTCACTTAAAAGGGGAAAGGTCTATTTCCATCTACAATACCCTCAAATATTATTCATTTCGAGTGAGGTCAAAAATCTTGATATTTACACAACAAAACCTGAGGAAGTTCTGCTCATACTTCTGAGAGTCTCTCAACTCGCAGTTTGATACCGTTATATCACTGCATGCAGTCAACAACGACTGATTTGCATACAATACAATAATCAAAATATATGCAGAGTATTAAAGCCTGGCCCATGCACTGGCGATTCTGTCGGCGATTTTTCTCGTCCTGGCAAATGTGATTGAATGAATGACATGCAAAAGACTTAGAATTGGACTGAAAGCCACTGTATACTTTTGTGTGCGAGGTCACTCATTTGCATCCGTCAGAAATACAAAATCGCCGACAAAATTGCTATAGTGTGAAGCAAGCTTTAACGTCGGTTGCTACGACTTAACAGTTGCGACCGATGTTATGTTAATAGAAAGCATGCTTCAAATCAAACGAGCAGCAGAGTTGATGAGAGTTGACAGTCACAAAACAAAACGGCCGCGCTAGCAATGTCGTTACCTGATGATAATTTCGCCTCGGTTGCATGCGAGAAGAACTGAGAAGAGGACTGTCTTTCACTTCACCAAACACCATAGATTTACTCCTGATGCTCTAGTTTCCTCCCGTACTAACATTATGCCATATAGAATATACTCCCTTCTTCCCCTTTAGGGAAGAGATATATATCAGTGTATCATGGAAATTTGATTTTTTTATGTTTTCCACACTCAAGAACAGTCAGTCGCAAAACAAAACGGCAGCACTAGCACTGTCGTGATCTGACGATAATTTCGCCTCGGTTGCCGATGCGAGAAGAGCGCCTTTCTGTTTCATTTTACCAAACATCATAGGTTTACTCCTGCTGCTCTACATTACGCCATAAGGGAAGAAGTGAGATAAATATCATGTATCATGGAAATTTGAATTTTTTATCTTTTCCACTCTCGTGCGGACAGTTAAACTGGGTTCAACAGTCCAATATCACCCAAGATTGCTACGCCTATTTGAACACTATTTGTTTATTGATGCCTTCTGATGTTTGGGAGTTGTTACCTTTACATCCACCATTCTCCAACATTGCTGAAATCGTTTGAACAGCTTTCACAACCGAAAGCCGTGATTTTGGACATCTGCTCACGATATAACTGATTGTAGAAGGGTTTCGTACTAGATGACAATTTTGAGTGCATGTAAATTTTGTTACCGGAAGGTTGGATTTCTGACAGAGGGCCAAAACTACAGTATAGTTGTATGTTTCGTATAATTAGAATAAAATTCACACTCGTAACGTTCCATCTACTCAATCTACAATCCCTTCCATAGAGCGTTTGCACATGACGTCACAGCCGCCATGTTGATGTTCCAATTGAAAAGAATTTTAATTAGACTCTTTTGTCTGGAACACCAACATGGCCGCTATGACTTTTGTTGAGTTGGTCCCTGGGGAATGAGTGCAAACGCTCTATACAATTATTCCAACCCTTGTGTGTATATTTATCCATAAGCCCAGATCTTCATCAGTGCTAATATATGTAAGATTAAAGGCCTATTTAAACGCACAACGTTTGCATAAAGCTACGTTTACACGCTTCGATTAATCGTGTATACGATTCGTTTTCTGGCGTATGTCATCGAGTAAACACGCGTAAGCTGGCTACATTTGAAATTTCTTTTTAACGAAACGGCAATGAATTATGGCGCCAGCACTCATTTTAATACGCCAGAATACGGAATTGTACACGATTAATCGTAGCGCGTGTAAACGTAGCTTAAAACTGTCGCATGCAATCTGCTTACAACTACGTCTACTTCAGTTCTACTGTGTGAATCAAACACACAATTCGCCTAGGACAGCCTAGGTGTGAGTAGTATGCTTGATTTACCCAGTACGACTCGGGTTGTAAGCAAGTTGCATGCGACAGTTTTAAGCAAAAGTTGTCAGTAATGTAAATGAGCGGTAATATTATCAGCAACGTTTTGGACGATGCTGAAGAAATCGCACAGCTGAATGACATATACAAACTAGATCAGAGTGGCCCAAACCAATTTTCCACTATAATTTTAGACGTTTTGTAAAGTGAAGATTTTAGCTTACCGGCAATGCGGCCCAGTATTCACAATGATTTTTTCCAAAGTCGTTGCCAAACTTGTCACTTTGCAACAGGTCCTCTATCATATAACTCGATGCAAACAACAAGATACCTAAACAGAATATCTTAAGTCCTGCCAGACCAATGATCAGGTGGATTTTAGTCTGCAGTAGACCGTATGCCATCCTTGCAACCAGTTTGATTGTGATAGTAATGGAATTTCACTTCGGTAGCGGAATTGTGCGTGTGTATTGAACTATGCTAATATTATGTTAGTGTTATTGTTTATAATGTTACGTACTAATTTTAATCTACGTATGTAAATAATGGTAATATATGCATACAAATGTCACGTGAAATGAATATAAGTGCAACGCCATTTCCAACCGGAAATTTGGGTCAGCAGTTGTTTCCATCTACATGACGTCATTTTTGGAAAATGGAAGAGGTGTTAAATGATTATTTAACTAACCCAAACCCAAACCCTACCGGCTACTCTTGTGGTTAGCGAGCAGGCATAGCTTGCGAGTTGCGGCGACGGAGGACCCGGCCACCTGGGGAAACGTTTTGGGTAATTGGGCCTGAGATTGGCATTAGGAAACATAACTCAGAGCTTGGCTGCTTGAGTTTGATCACTAAAATTTGGCCACAGAACAAAAATAGTTTGAAAATAGAAAAGAGAATTTTATAGAAAAAAGACCCCAGACAGTAGTGGGAAAAATGTATATGCTAGCGCGCACAAGACCTTCTGCATGACCCAGTTAGCTCGTTTATCTCGGATCCCAACATCTGACACGGTATAACAATAGGGCTAATATAGTCGGTATAGCTTCGTATAGGTTGGTTTAATACCTCGACATCTTCCTTAACATTCTTCACTTCACTGAAAGTGGAAATAACGGTAAGAGTGGATAAAGCATCCTTGATTGTCAATTTTAAAACCTGAACATTTGTAACGATATTTAATACGAGATTGTTTAATCTGTCAAATCATTTACAAATAGAATCATCAAGTGTCTAAAGTAGTTTTACTATCAATCACATGTTTCTTCCTATGTAACTTGAAAAGTTTGGTTTTCCTACCCTACGGATGTGCGTGAATTCCTTCTCAGGATTCCGTTTGTGCTATGTACTTGATCGAGAAAAAACGTCTGTTTCTTAAGCTGGGTGCAATGGCATTTTGTCTCCACTTTCGCCTTCCCACATCTGCTGTGTATTTTCTTCTTGGGGTTCCGAAGCAGAGAATCTTTCGTATCTCTCACTCATTTGCACGGAATGTTCTCCGTTTTCAGATGTCTTCTGCAAGGAAATAAGACATGAGAAAATTAAAGTATTTGTTGGGAAGAGGGGTTGTGGGTGATGGTGGACTGTTGGGAGGGATTGTGTGGTGGGAGCGGTTAGTATATAGGTGCATGGGAGGATGGGGTGGGGTGGTTTGGTGGGAGGAAGGGTTGTGGGTAGGGAGCAGTTATTGCAAGGAGGGATTGTGCAGTGAGGGACAGTTGGTGGGAGGAGTGGTTGGGGTGGGAGACGTAGTTGGTTGGAGGAGTGATTGGGGTGGGGTGGGGGTGGGGTAGTTTGGTGGGAGGAAGGGTTGTGGGTAGGGAGCAGTTAATGCAAGGAGGGATTGTGGGGTGAGGGACAGTTGGTTGGAGTAGTGATTGGGGTGGGCGGAGGAGGTACTGTGGGGTGATGGCCAGTTTGGTGGGAGGAGGGACTGTAAGGGTGGAAGGTAGTTGGTGGGAGGAGGGATTTTGGGGGTGGTGGGTAGGGAGCAGTTAATGCAAGGAGGGATTGTGGGGTGAGGGAC